ACGTTTGGCGCTACGTTCATCTCCTCAAAACCATCCCCGACCGTTCCTCCGTTCTCCGTTTTCACCGTTAAGGTAAATTTCTTACTATAGCTAGTAATTTACGTAAGTTGTTCTTGGGTGGAATCGAGTTTTGGACTATAAATTTTTGTTTTCCGCTGCGTTATCCAAGCATCGTTTCCCAACAGTGGTATCGGAGCTGGGTTACGAAGTTACTAGTTTAGTAGTTTTTACCGTTATTGTTTTTGTAGATTAGTCAATAAATTTTGGAGACAAAAATTTATCCCATTAAAATTTAATTAGGTGGCCATATTTAGATACTGGACCTAATATAATTTTGTTCAGTAATTTTCGGAATTACTGTTTGGGGTATTTTTATATTATTCTTATTAAGTAGTTTATGTGTAGAATAATTGTTATTTGTGCCATAAATACTTAATATTTATGAAAATTAGATTTTATATTTTCTGGGAAGTATTTGACATGTCAATATAACTCAGAAATTTTAAAATCTATTTTTGGAATTAATTTCCTATTTTTAAATTCGTTTATTGAATAGAAAATGGGAAAACTTATTTTTGACGATCAAAAATTAATTTTAATTCATAATAAGTTGCGACCAGAGATTTTAAGCTTGTATAAAAATTGTCATAATTTTTAAACACGTAAAAATATTTATTTTGTATTTTTGAAGTGATCGGATCGGTACTATTCACTAGTCCGATTTATAATTATTTTAAATTGCAAAATTAATATTTTAAATTCAAGAAAAATCATATTCTGGTTCTGGAACTTATTTTTGACTTGGAAAATAAATTTTGATATTTTTGGAATTTCGAAATATATTTTCACAATATAATTTCGGTTTTCTATCTTTGAAAAAATGGTTTTCAAAATTTTAAATTTTATTCATTCTGGAATTTTAGGATTTCCAGATTAATAAAGTTTACTGGGAGTCTCCAACAATTATTTGCTAATTTATAAAACATATATATATTTAATTCGAAATAAAAGCCCTTTTTCGAATTTAAATATATATAAATACGGTAAATATAAAATATTTTATTTTCTGGAATTTAGAAAATCAAATTTCTAACATTCTAGAAATTTAAAGTATTTTATGATTTTTAATTAAATTACTTGCTAGTTTAATTAATTTATTGTTGATAGTTTATTCCGTAGAATAGAATAAACTAGGTCTGGGGCGAGCGCGGTTTGCCCGGTGTATGCTTTAATATGTATGATGTGATGCATGTGATGCTTGTATGTATTATTGCATGGTGGATGATTGTGGCTTAGTTATATTTGTTGTAATTTTAAATACGGCCTGCGTGTCGTGCCTCATCTCTATACTCTGGATGTAATTCTCTTCTTTACCTAAAATATTCTTTTCTCTCGAAAATTATAAGAAGATAAGAAGACGAAGTCCGTTCGTGATAGAGAATCCTAAGGAAGACGTTATGGGCCGGAGATAGAAGATCTCTTGATCAAGGCGCTATCATTTGTTTTTCTTTAGGAGCGACAATCATTTCACGTTTACTTATTATGCATGTGATGTATGATTGAATGTATGCATGTATGTGATTTTCGCTAGTGCATACGCGCGGTGTATGCCATAGGTAAGACTGCGTTATAAATCCCTCATAATTTTAAGTCTGTGCCACCCCGACGCCCCGTCACTCGTCAAACCCAATTTAGATCGGTATCGGACTCACCCAAGTGAGACGCCCGGTTTACGTTGGTTAGGCGCGAAACCCGTAACTAGGGTACTGACTCGCCCCGGGTTAGTCTTAACTAAGTCTTGGTCATAAGGATGAGAGACTTAGGGCACTGCGGTAGGATCAATAAATAAAATCAGATCATCCAACCCGAGTTGTAAATTGTTACAATTGGAATTTATTCCTACCAGAAATAATTTAACTGTA